ACAAACGACAGCAACTTGTCTGTTCCCCTTCCCCCAATTCCCCAGCACTGTTCCCCTCCCCCAATTCCCCAATAAAAATCTTAAAAAAAAAAAATTAGATAAGCCCAAAGGGATTTAAGTATAGGTGGGAAATTTCTACAAAGAGCATTGTACAGTGAGTGGTTAAAATCTGAGACTCTGAAGCTGAGAGGGTTGAATTTCAGAAACTACTTGGCCTCTTAATACTCAACAAGCTAATTAAGCAACACAGATCCCTCCTCTGTGAAATGGGGATAAAATTAGAACCCACTTCACAGGATTATTCTGAGGGGAAAAAAACGAGATTACACATATAAGAATTTAGCACAGTACCTGGCACAGAGTAGCCAACAGTAAATGTCCATTTTTGTTTTTATTTTGTATCATCAAGTAGTAAGACTTAATCCTAAACCTTAAAGTTTGACTTTAAGGCGCAGCCACTTCTTAAAACTTTAGGAATGTCAATAGCTAGGCGTTTCTAATTCTACTTTGGTTAAACAGAACAGTTTATAAAAGTTTACACCTCAGTAAGATAATGGTTTAAATGGTATATTCTCTACTACAGTGCTTTCTTTCTAACACCTGGGATTTCTTCAAAGCCTAAACATTGTTCTCCTACATAATAACAACAAAGATAATTGCTTTCTGGTAACCAGACATCTTACTGGAATATTTATTCTTTGCTTTCTAGTAAATTCTTAACCATGTGCCATTTTAACTGTTGTCCTTTAGGCTGGCTTTTTTAAATGAATTTTGTCTTGTACCTTCTATTATATTTCTAAGCCCTTTGAGATCAGAGAACCACATATTATGTTTCTTTATGTTCCCACAATACTCTTGTAGTAAGACAGTCAATAAATAGATGACTAAATGATGTCCTTAACATCATTTGACAGCCAGCCCCAAAATGGTGCCTGCATTCAGTACAATTCAACAGATACTTATTCATAATTTCTAAAAAATAAACCTTGGCAAAGAAAATACAAAAGGCAATTTCTTTAAGACTTATGAATGCTAATACACATACATCCCATTTTGTCATCCATTGCAGAGAATCTAAAACAGTAACAAAAGATACTGAGGGAATATATACACCCAGTTAGCCATGTACACTATGAAAATTACAACAGAAACTAAAGTAAGAATTAAAAAAATAACGATGGGGCTGGCCGAGTGGCGCGTTGGGTAAGAGTTGGCTTGGGACGCCAGCTCTGAGCAGTAGGGCCCAGGTTCAGATCCAGTGACACTGCACCCTCTACAGCTAAGATGGTGAACAACAGCTCAACCTGGAGCTGGGCTGCCGTGAGTCGCCTGTGACGGTGTAAGCTGCAGCCCCTGCTGCAGTGGGCTGCTGTGAGTTACCGTGAGCAGCCGGCAGCCAGCGTGAGCGGCTGTCCAATGGCCGGCAAGCAACATGCCTCACCTGGGAAGAGCGCAATGATCACAATATCAACATGGGCCAGTGAAGTGATGTCCTCCAAAACTAGATTGAAGAACAAAACAACAGCAACTTGTCTGTTCCCCTTCCCTGATTCCCCAACACTGTTCCCCTCCCCCAATTCCCCAATAAAATCTTAAAAAAAAAAAATACTGACAGTACTTATTTGTATTCAGGTGATTTCTGTGGCAATAATTACCAGGAAGGAGAAAGAAGCTTGACAATCTACCCACAAACTTCTTTTTAGGGATATTAGGGGAAATCTATAAATATATGAATTGATACTTCAGGTAGAGGAAGTTGTTAAAAAAAAAAATCAGTAGGCCCTCGGTATCTGATATCCCATGAAAAGAGGACCAACAAAATGTATCAAGCAAAAGCTCAACATCAGCAAAACATCCAGCTTGAAACCTAGACACAGACCAGTCAGGAAGTTGTGAGATAAGGTTGCACTTACCGCTCACTCCTTAAGGGTCTCGACTTACATCCCTCAAAGCTGGTTTTATCTCTGCCTCTTGCACAGGGACATTATGAAAGGACCTTTCATTATGTGATTACCTCGCAGGAGGCAAGGCAGACATGCCTCTGAATGGACACATTTTCCTCTTGGTGAAGCTGCAGAGGACACACTGCTTCACAAGAAGTGATTTAGGGAAATGAGTCATTTGCTAAAAAGTTCAGTAGCAAGTTGCCTTACTGTCCTGTTGCTTGTAAAAAAATTTGGTTGGATATGGGAAGTAGGGAAAATTCAATTTAAAGAAAAATTAAAGGAACAGTTCAGAACAAAGCCAGCACTGTGCCATGTCAGAGCACAGGCTGGAAAGGAGAATAATTGGGTTCCTGTCCCAGCACTGCCACAAACCAGCTTTGTGACCTTGGGCAAACCAGGTACCATCAAGGGCTTCAGTTTCCCCCATGTACAAGGGAGCTGGATAATATCATCTCTGTGATCCTTAGCTCTCATAGTTTGTGAATACAGCCCTGAATACTCAGAATTATAAATGAGCACCAGTTCTTCTCAGACCGTAACAAAAATCCCCAAACTGTAATCTCACTACCTGCTGGCTTGTTATCAACTACGCTCATGGACGCAGTATTTACGTGGTCACGCCTTTAACAAAGGGCCATAAAGTCAGGATGGGCTTCGAGGAACTGGGCTACAAATGAAATCCTCCCTGTCAACATGCAAGACATGAAATTTCAAATTATAATAGAATTACACGACTTTTTCAAGAGCGAAGTATGAGTGGAGAGACGAGAAGCATGAAGCTGAACATCAGTGTTTTAGGTTGTAGGGGGCAGCCGCCTTCATCCATTGAGAGAATCCATTGAGAGAAAAGCAGATCACAGTTATAACTGTTTTGGGAATAAGAAATTCAAGTTCTACATTCTCCCTCATAAAGGGTAGCATTCTGCCTACAAGTCACTTCACTGCCTCTGCTCTGCAGGTCCGTTATGGTCACACTCACCTAAGGCGCTGACTTTTAAATGCTTAGTTTTAGCACTAGGCGCACAGAAGACCTAGTGTTGTCAGGGCGACTATGCCCTTGGAAGAAGGTGGACCTCAGGCACGACCCAGCCACTCCAGTGTAAATTACAGTCTTCTCTCTCATTTATATTATTTTAACTCTTAAAGGTTTTAAGTACATGGGAGTATTTTTAATCGAAAGGAATTGTGTGAGCGAAATTTTATGTTTAAAAGCAGGACTCCTCTAGTAACATGAACAACACTAAGTTCTCGAGGACTCTGGGCTTTCATTGACTCCACAGTCCTAAACTGAGGCATTCCTTTGGTTAAAGTCAGAATGATCAAGAGTCAAGTTTCCCAAGGAAGGCAGGGTTTCAATGTCAGAATAGTGCTATCATGGTTGACCATTCATTCAGTGGTTAATTTCTTCTCAAGCCTATATATGTGGTGTCACCGCGTGAACGGCAACATGGAAAAATGACTGAAAGTTATTAGAATAGAAACTACTATTATATAGAAAAACAGGATGCTATTCTTCATTCAAAACAAGTCATTAGAATGGTTCTTTGGTTTAGAAGAGCCTCTCTTTACTATTGTTGCTGTTATTCTTTTACAAACATCTCTTGTATTTTACATTAATTCTCAAGATTAACATGGGTATCCCACATCAATTAATTAATAAGATCTAGGTACCATGCAAAAGGTGGCAAGGCAAAATAATTTTCATAGGAAGCTTCAGGGCTTTCTCAGTTGCAGTAAAAGCAAAGTGTGTTTCCCTTATTATTTTTTTTAAACACTATCCAATGAACCCCCAAAACTAGATATTTTAACTTCTCCTTGAAAAGTGGAGAAGCTGAGGGACTCTCACACATGTTTACAGCTTAGTAAGATGAACATCAGTTAAGTAATCATTAATCATAGCTGGATTCCTCAGCAAAGATGTTGGCATTGGCACTGCAGCCAGTCACCAGCAATGACTGCAAGTAACTCTAAGACACTAACGCCTATTTGATTTGGAAGAGAATAAGGAACAAGGAACATAATGATGCTGGCAGAATACTGTTCCCCTTTGCCGGTCTCCATCTCAGGGCCTTGCAACATCACAAGACCAGCTGTTAACCAGATGCAAGCACATGCACCAGAGAGAGTGTGAGAATAAAAATATCAGTATTATTTCCATGGAACTAGTCACATGGTTATTATAGAAATAGTCAACATTAGCATACTACAATGTTTGTTTTGTCCTTCAGTGTGGTAACACCCTCAGGGAAAAATGATCTTTATTTGTAAAAGGTTAAAAATGAAAGTACATGTTCTGTATCTTTGCTGGAAAATGGTGGGAAATGAATTTGTTGAAACCATATGGAGAGGAAAAGAGAATCAATTAAAAACAGAAATCTAATAAATTTAAAATATTTCCAAATGAAATGCTTGTGGTAAGCTAATTTCTTGTAAACACTGCTCTCAGGTCACTTGAACAGTCCCAGATGGTGAACGAACTTTGTGGTCTTAAAAAAGAAGTCAGCCAACAAACCAAAGTGACTACAACTTTATTATCAAGGTAGTGGGAAACAAGAGAGCCATAATCAACCAGTATATTAATTTTTCTTGCAAAATTGAAGAGGTTTATGGAGTTTCACTAAGACGATTTCATTGAAATTTAAATTTTTAATTTATATGTTAAAGTTAAAATGATAATGAAGTTACAAGTGCGGGAAAATCTCAAGTTATTTATATAACTTAGAAAAATAAAAATGTTTCTAAAAATGCCACTGTTGAAATGTATTGCCAGGTCTAACACATAGATTAAATGTTATGTATTTATTTAATTCTTAAACTATCATCAACTTTCTTCAGTTGATACGTGGTTTTATTCAAGAAATATTCAAAACTCTTCTTCAGAAAGTTGAGCTACAAATAAAAGTTTGTGATGTGTGCTTTGACCAGAAATTGCACCGGGTGAAAAAAAATCTCCCCTACCTGCTCCACCGTCAGTAATCCATCAGGAGACGCTGGCACAGGCTGCATGGGTAGAAGCTGGCACAGTGTGCCTAAAAGTAAAGCGACTTCCTTCATACTTCTCCAACAGCATACCAGTACCATCTGAGCAGTTACATCACATGTTTTCCCTTCTTTACCTTAAAAAAAAAAAAATCTTTTGCAACACTGACTGCTCACAACCCAGGTTTTTTGGAACAAGCTTATTCATAATTTCCCCAAGAATAATCTGCTTGAACAAACCAATTTGTCCTAGGTTATATTTACTTAGGAGAAAATAACAAACATTTGTTGAGCATGTGCTATGGGCAGGGATCATGCTCAGTATTTTTTTAATATACTATTTTCAAAACAAGTTTAAAAACAAAATGCAAATAGTGTCTCAAAACTAAAGTCTAACCTTTGAAAGTTACTGAAATAAACTCTCTCTGCTAAACTGTCATCCATAAAATATGATTATAACAAATATACTTCATTATTTATTTTGGTGAGGGTGGCTGTTATATCAGTAAAGGAGTAGGATAGGACATTGAAAGTAAAAGGAAAATACAAACTTTCTTCAAAAAATATATTTAAATTCCATGGCCAATAAGCTATAATTATCCTTACTCTTTTTCTAGTCTTAGAAATATTTTAGTACAGGCATTAAAAAAAACCCAAGACAAATTATTAAATTTACAAGGTAAGTAAACAAAACAATATTTATAATGTAATCCCACTTGTGTTTTTTAAAAGCCCACCAAGCTGAAAGAATAAACGTATTTACACATAAACACATAGAACAGGTCTAAAAGGATACACACGCAAAAAGAATAGTGGGGTTGGGGAGGAAATGAAGGACTTTAATTTATTTTTAACTCATATTTACCTCTGTATTGTTTGAAACCATTATAATAAGCATATATTTATGTTATTTTGTGTAATTAAAAGGAAAACCAGAAATTTTTACAAGACAATATCCCCATCTAGTGGAGAAGGCAGACTATGTAATAAAATCGCTAAGAAAATTAGAAAATAACTGATGGGAAAATAGGCAGTAAGAACTCAAATTCTGGAGGCTTGGTATAACAGAGAGGCTGCCATTTTCCTGAGTAATAAGGTTTGTTTCCTTTAAGAGGCTGCTTGACTGTAAGGACTCGCACGGCAAACAACAAGGAACCACATTACTGCTCAAACCCAAGTTCACCGTGCATCACTGCTCCTACATCACCTGGCTGTCAAGACAGGTCTTAGCACTCAAATGCTTTTTGTTGTAGCACTTTATATATTACACCAGGGCACACCATTTTCTGGTAAAAAAAAAAATCTTATAGTCATTCCCCCAAATAAATCACTTCTAAGCTCAAAAAAACCTTTATTTTCTAAAAATGTTCTGTACACATCTACAGCCTCTGGTTTACTATGTGAAAAGGGCATTTTGTACTTTTTTTTTTTTTTTCACTTAAACACGGATTACAAAGCACTGATTTTATATATGTTACCTTTGATTTCTGCAGAAGCATCGATATTCGGTACACTGGCATTCAAGTCCTCGAAGTCAAAGCTATCCCGTTCTTTCAATATTTTGGCTTGATTGAAGTAATCATTAGTATCTCGTGGCTGAATCTCATTCAGAATCGTCTGTAAGCGGCTTGCTGATTCTGCGGGAGAGAGATGAGAGTACGTAAAACCCCAGTTTCCATGCCACAGGCCGACTTCCCTTGAGGGGTATTTGCCTTCAACGCTTGTGTTATTTTCAATACCAGATAATCACTTCTATTAGAAGGGACTCACAGGGTGGATACTGTGAAAATTATTTATATAAGGTCTTCATGAGGCTTGAGTGTACTTTTAAAATATGGCAAATATTTTAAGTCGGTTGAAGAAAGGACACATACACAAAAAAACACAACACAAACTGTCCACGGGACAAAGGCTGCCATCCCATGCACGCTGCTTGCCTTACTGTTGTCTAAGAATCTCAAATCCAGTGCTCCATCACGTGAAAGAATAATAATACACTTCTATAACTTTTGTTTCAGCAAGTTGTTTCCCTATCTACAACATAAGTTATCAAGGTTTAAAGGTAGAAAGTTAAAAAGACAAAAGAAACCTGGCCAACAACAAAAACAATCTTTTACAGCCCAGGAATATCTTAAAGACTCCATATTTGACTCTGAAATGCATTATGTAATATACTGCTTTCTAAGTATGACTTACAGCCCTAGTGTTATAGTAAACTTAATTTTTATTCCCTAAGCACTCACTGGATCAGGAAATGTAAGCTCCATGAATGCAACACTTTGTTCACTGCTGAATTGCCAGTGTCTGGAACAGAAACTGGCTGGTGGCAGAGGTTCAGTCACATTGGTAATGAATGGATGACTAGGTAATGAAGAGCTAGCCAGGCTTAGAGTTTTAAGGAAAATAACAACTGGTAATCATCTGAAACCAAAGAGCAAACCAGAGAACAGGTATTTACTGTATACCTATTATATACACTTATATTTTAGGTATTATAGGAACTGCAAAGACCCAAACTGCTATCATGATGAGTCAGCCAATATCTTATGTCCACTTGTGGCTTCCAGAAAATTTTGCCCAAAACAAGCAAATTTTGACAGCCATGAAAAAATAACAAAAAGAAACCAGGGAAAGACCAAGAAAAAAGAAGGATGATCAGAGTAAAATTTTAAGAACCCTACCATTCATTTTTATGGCTTTCAAGGTAGGCTTTTGTCAATAAATTCAGAGTACAGGGCAATAACGTGGGAAAGAAACAGGAAAAAAGGAGAAAACCAGGTGAAAAAAAAAAAAGGTGAAATTAAGGAAGAGTCGGTGGGCCATAGGCAGTTTTTGAGACCAACAGATTTTAACACGTTCATAACAAAAATAATTTTAGCATACTCTGCAGGCCCTACCCACAATAGGTGAAAAATATTCAAGATTTCTCATTCAGGATATAGTGGTACTTGCCTGATCCAAATATTAGCTGTAAGATTAGGTGTTCCTTATTCCTATGCACTAAGTAGGAAAACTAAAGCATCAAATTTTGATTTTCAGACTATCAGTCAAAATAAATAAATAACTATGCCTTAGTATCATGAACCATCACCCATCTTCAATTCATTTTTAGTAAAGAACACAACCTCACATTTTCTATGCAAACATACACCTCCAGGTTGCTTTAATTATCAGTCCAAGATATTGCCTTGTGTGATGCAGCATGTGTTTATAATATAGTCAGTGTTTTGGGGTTTTTTTTTAGCTGAGCCATCCTGCCACCTGTTGGCAGCTCAGCGGCAGCTCAGCTCAGGCCGGGAATCAAACAGCTGTTGCTCAGAGCTCACACTCTTGCGCGAACTCTTAACCAACTGAGCCACTCGGCCAGCCCTAGTCAGTGTGTTTTTAACACAAGGTTTGCACTTACACACCAAAATGCACTTATAAACTTTATTTCAACACCAAATGTAAATTTACTTCGTGATTTTCTAGGTGCTAACACCAATCCCTTCTGGCGTGTTGGAGTGCCAGTACGTATGTGCTACCTAAGGCATCCCAGGCACTGAGTTTAGTTCCCGTCCTTTAAGGAATTGTTCAATCATTGATTTATTCATTATAACAAGTATTTATTGTGTACTGACTTCTACCAGGCACTGTGATAAGCACAAGATAGGGAAACATGGACATGATCACTGTTGAACTGGACCGACTCCATGAAGGAGCACTCTGTGGGAAGAGGAAAGAGGGAAGAGACAAGAAGGACAGGGTTGCAGGAGCCAAACTATTGCAAGACCTGGTCTGAGATCACTAAACTATTTTAAATAGGGGTGAGGGGTGGGGGTGGGGGTGCTGACAGGGCACAAGGGTCAAATAAAGATCATGGGTAACATGATGAATTACATAATTAGAAAAGACTAGAAAAAGATGAGAAAAGAGAGATAAGAGTAGCTGTGGGGAAACCAGTTGACAAGCTCCTGGAGTAGTCCAAACAAGAGAAGATAGTAACTTTAAGAAGATGCAGGTAAAAACAAAAGAGATCTGAAAGATATTTAAGTGTAACGCTGACAGAATGTAGAGACAGGCACAATACAAGGAGCGAAAAGATGGCAGGCAGCCCTAGGCTCCTGACTTGCATGAACAGGTCTTTGGTAAAGACACAGGGGTTGGGAGGGAAAAGACAGATTCAAGTTCATGAGATCCATTTGGGGGCATTTTGAGTATCTCCTCCTATCTTTTTATTTTTTTTTTAATTAAATGGTCTCTGTACATCAATTGGTCTTTGCCCATTTCAGATTCCTAACAAGTTGCCTTCTCTGACTGAACCCCATCAAGCTGCCCCCCTCTCTAATTTACATTGCCAGCTCTCCCAGTCCCAGCAATTACCTGGTAGGTTGTGTTCTGAAATTACAATATTATAAAACCCAATTTACCCCAGGGGAGAGAGTGCCTTAATCATCACCTGGTTATTTATTTATTTTGGTATTTTTTTTAATAGTTAAAAATATTACTAAAAAGGTAGAAATATCGCTACTAATCATTTTTCTCCCCTATTTAGTATTTATAGCTCTCTAAAGAAATGATTAGGGCGAGGAAAAAAAAATGACAAGGAGAGAAAGATAAGTTGATTCTAGCTTTGTTTGTTGGCTGACCTGAATCAGTGTCCATTGGGATGAGGCCTTCTGGGGAAGAGCTCTGAATGACGGGAGACACCACAGCGGAAAGCCTGTAGGACATTGAAAGGAGCTTCTCCACCACAGGTTTCCACTCACTCACCAGCTGCAGGCTGCTGCAACAAGGGCGTAAGAGAAATTTATACTAAAAGCAAAAATCACATTTTTTTAAATGGACATTAAAGGAGTTGGAAGAATTTGCGTTTCAAAATTGTGCATTCGATGAGATATTTAAGACGATATAGAATATGTGTATGTATGTATATCTTTTCATCTAATTTTTAATTATCTTGAAGGCCACATGTTCCTTTCTTAGGACATATTCCAGTACAAGCTGAAAGCCTAGAAATGCGTGTTCAGGAGATAATGGCAGACACACTTACTTGAGAGGTAACTTTTGCAAGGCCCTGGTTATACAGTGGACTCGCCCATACACTGGAAATGATGCTGCTGCCCGGAGCAGAGAATTTTCAGCCTGACTTACTTCTTCCTCAAGATTTTCCAACAAGCATTTGATAACTAGAAAAAGCAACCAAAAAAAACCAAAGTAATGCCAGCTTGAAAACACACTTATAAATTAGCGAACAGCAAAACAGTTCCCATGAAATCATTCAACTCAATTGCACTTTATCCTAGAGGTTTTGAATTTTAAAAAACAGATCTTTCAGGGTTATCTGGCCTGTTATCCTTGTCTAGTGGAGGCAGAACCGAGTGTCTTTTCCTAGTTTCCTGGATCCAGTTATAGCATTCACTCCAAATCATTCCTCCTAGACATCCTCCATCTGGGGTATCGGACCCTAGGCCCTCAGGCCACGTGCTGTTTGGACAGGGTTTTTTTTTTAACTTTTAAATAATGGCTCTAATGAGATATACTTCGTATACCATATAATTTATAAAGTATACAAGTCAATGGTTTTTAGTATATTCAGATCTGTGCAACCGTCACCACAATCAATTTTAGAACCTTTTCATCCTCCCCCCTCTAAAAACTCTCACCTGCACCCGTCACCTTCCCCAGCCCTAGGCAACCACTGATCTACTTTCTGTCTCTATAGATTTGCCTATTCTGGACCTACCATATAAATGGAATCATATAATATGTAAACTCTTTCACTCAGCATGTTTTCAAAGTTCATCCATGTTGTAGCATGTATCTATATTTCATTCTTTTGTACAGCTGAATAATAGTCCATTGTATGAATGGATACACTACATTTTATTTATCCATTCATCAATTCATAGATATATGGGTTGTTTCCACTTTTTAGCTATTATGAATAATTTTGGAACTGGCGGTATGGAAAGTGAAAAGGTACAGGCATGAGAGCCAGTTAAAACATAAACCCCGATAAAGGAAATCTCCGTTATTAATACAATAGAAATAACAAAGACGATCTGCCTATAGTCACGATCAAGTTTTCACAGAAGAAAAAGTACATTTTCCGTAGAGAAAGAGGTCAATCAGAGCTTTATTAATGCACATTTATGTATCAACTTATTTAACATGAATCATCTGTTTAAAAACAAGTGTTATAGCTGATTAAACTGTTTCTTTGCATAAGAGAAATTCACGGTATTCTTACGTGCTGGTAAACTACTATGCTGGTAAACTCAAATAAAAAACCACAAAGAAACGTTTAACCATTGGATAGCCTAACCAAATGACTAGTGAGAGAGTAAAATGCTGGTTTTGATAAATAAGAGCAAAAGGTCATCTACTCAATACAAACCCATTAACGTGTTCCTTTCCACCACAGCAGCAGACTTATCTCCATCTCCACATGCAATGTGCTGAGTTTTTAAGTAGGCAGACAGAGCTGACGGCAGAGCATTCTGCCAGATTAAGAAGTTCATCAGGTAGGAAGCTGTTACACAGTCATATGGTTTGGTGCTGGTGCTGAGCGCCAGGGCTGCCTGGAATAAGCCTTGCAGTTTCTCTGAATCCTAGAATAAAGCACAGACTCAGTAACTGTCACTCAAATAGTTCTTTGATCTGAAGGAATACTACACATTTAAAAACAGAGCCTGCCACATAACTGTAACTCAATAAGAACATTGATTCCCTTCCTCCCTGAATATAGGTTAGAGTTATCGTTATAGTAATTAAGGATTATTATGGATCAGTTCTAGTGATGAGGGTCTTGAAAATAATCAGTTGGGAACCAACACTGATAAAGCTTTTGTTAAAAAATGTACCTCTTTCTTCAGCAAAAGTGTACTTTTTCCTGTAGAGGTTCTGCTATGACTATAGCCAGATCATCTCTGTTACTTATGTGCAGACCAGAGTTCTTTTGTATATTCAGGGTTGTTTTACCTGGGCATCATACTCCTGCCCTTCGCCCTTCCCCCTTCCCATAGAACTAGTTCAAAGGAGAAAAATAGAAATCTGCACAAAAATATCAATACACCAGGCTGTTTCTGGTAAAGTTCCATGTATATGCAGGGAAAATAAAGTGATCACATAAGCCTGAGAAATTCTGCATCAGAGCTCCCACATCTATATCTCATATACCATTCACTTACATAGCCCGTCCTAAAGACAAACCCAAAAGGCAGTTCAGTGTAATATGCATGGAAATAGGCACTGGCTGAGGACAGGAGACATGGGTCCTAGTCCCGATTCCATGGTTGACAAGGTACACGTTCACCAAACTGCAACTCAGGGTTTCACTGTTCAATAATACTGATTCAACTAGGACTATTCCATAACCATCTAATATAAGGAAAAAGTCATTATAAACTTAATTTTGAATTTCATTATAGGTACACTAATATTGAATGATGTCTTACAATTTCAAATTAATAGATATCAAATATACTAATTCAAATATCAGTTTATTTCTATTAAAATTCTTTGCTATTTGATGTTTAATTTTCTATTATCTAAAAAACTTAAAGTAGTGGCCAAAAGCTCAAATCTAAATAAATATTAGAAAGAACCAATTAAACACCTAAGTCATTTTTTTTTTGTAACTGTCAGCTAAGTCCCTCAATTCCTTAACTAATCAATTAGTAAAAAAATATATATAATGTTTGGAATCTAAAATACCTTTGTTCTATCATCTGAGTTCAATCAAAATACAATACAAAAGCCTTGGATATGTAGCTCCACAAGAAAAAGCAATAGACTAGGTGAATGATAAAGTCATATACTAGAAAGATATGCCATCAAAAAATACATATACAAGTCCTTAGAGAGACTAGGTTAGCATTCAAAAATGTTTTAAAGTTAACTATATTAAAAAATTAATTATGTGTTAACATAAGGTATTCCCAAAGAAAGGCTTTGGAAACATGTAATTAATATTTTTAAAACTTGAATGCCTATTCCTATGATCATTTTACAAATATGCAAGCCAGATCAGATAATATAACTACCAAAATCATAGAGCAAACCAAATGTGCTACTAAGTTTCCTGAATTCTAGTTCATGTCTACATACCAAGCACGTGTTTATCAAATGAGAGATACAGAGGCCCCCTAAGGATCCTTCATAGTTCATGTAAGGATCGGGTCTTTCATATAGGTGCTATTATATAATATACCTTACCCGTTCCATATACTCTCAAAATATTTGTCAGGAATGAGGCATAGTTTTAGATAGATAGATAGATAGATAGATAGATAGATAGATAGATAGATAGATAGATGATATAAGGCTACAGCATGATGAAAGGTAAGGGGCAATGGGAAAGGGAGTGTGGGAGAGAAAAAAGGAAATTGAATGAGACAGTATCTTCTTTAAAAATTCTATATGGTATAAAAGTTAGAAGTCGAAGCACCAAAGAAGCTTCTGCTAACCAGGGCACCGGAAAGACCACAAGGATAGGTGGGCACTGGAGAGCAAGTCCAATACGGACCCAAATTGGAAAAGATGTCTGAGATCTTGCAATGCCATCTAGAAGCCATGGAAACAGACACCTTGTGCTCGCTGACATGTGCTTCCCACTGCATCCACAAGCTGTCATGCCCTAAACAGAGCCTAATAGCCGGAGCCCAGACCACAGCTCAGCTGCAGCCCCTATAGGCTCTCACGGACTCTATACAGCTCTAACAGAAAGCCTTAGCAAAGCTCTCGAGCCAGTGATCCCACAGCTGCTGGTGACCTCACAGCCCTAGAAGAAGCCTGAAGGGCAGAGCCCAACACCTGCAGACTGATCTCCATGCTGTGCCCTCACCCCAAGCCTATATATGGATCCCACCCCAAGTGGTCAGGAAGAGGGTGGGAGCTGGAGACGGAACAGACCGCCTAGGGAGCAAACTGTTAACCTCAAGTATTCTGGGTTTCAGTCTCAGTTTAGCTATTGCTTGCTAGAAGATCAGAAACATGTTTTCTACCTCACTTACACTCAATTTCCCAGTCTACTAAGCAGGAAGGTTATCTCAAAAAACTCAAGTTACTGTAAGTGATGGGTTTTGATCAAATATTAACATGTCCAAGGAAACTGGAGAGGCCACAGTTAACTGAAATCTACCAGTAATCTTGTAAAGAATAAAACCTACTGCCTCCTACAGCTCTCTTTTTATATCAAAATAATAATTTTAAAAAAAAAAGCTCACTGAGTTAGACTTTGTTTTCTCTTACAATATGTCCTCTCTCCCCGTCACCCATCCCCACCTCCTCCACCCCACCACCCCACAACAGCGGAGGTATTACTGATAATGAAACAGCCAGAGGTGTAAGAAGGCAGCTGCAAAGACCTTGGACAACCCACAGGCTGTTCCATCTGCTCCTTAAATACAACGTTTTCACGCATACACATTGACACGGGAAAAGTCCACATACCTGAAATTGTACAACTGGTTTTGGCAACTTCATTAGAAGATCAAATGCTAAAATTTTCACTGTTTCAAAAGTGCTGGCAAAACATTCTATTAGGATTTGGAAACGACTAACATCAATATCATGACTCAGCTGATACACTGTCTGGGCTTGACCTAAAATTAAAAAAAAAAAAATTTAAGTGAATAAAAGGAAAAGGAAATCAATATTTTTAAGTTATTTGGCAAATTTATAGAAAATTAGTATAAAAATCCACACAGCATACTTTACCCATAATAGCATAAAAGAATAATTTTTCCAATAATTTCCTAAAATGATAAAATAATAAGTATTACAGTTTTCCAAATGGGAAACATTTTTTTTAACTTGTTTAAAACCACTTCATCCTCTTTCAAAAGGACATACATTACATAACAGACACCTAAGTTATTTTTTAAATAAACAACAATAAATAAATTTAGGAATACATCTTCTAAAAAACTTTTTGACCTAAAATCCAAAGTCCTACCATGTTTTGGTTGAACGGACACTGAATAATCAATATGACATAGCCTAATAGAATTACTGGGCATCAAAGATCAAGAAGGAGTCTTTTGGCCATTTAGGCAAAACGCTCAATTCATCTACAAAGTGGAAAAACCTAGTCTGGCTTCACTCTTCACCACAGCATCATATAGTGTTAGAAGACAGTGAAGCAATGCTTACAAAATCCTCAGGCAAAGAAGGTGTGATGAAAAACTGTATCTCAAACTCATACTCCAGTATCAAGTATAACAGCAATATAAACACTTTTTGAATGTGCAAGAAATTAAGAACTACATTTCCCCCACTGTTTTCAAAGAAAGATGAATTTCAGCCAACCAAGAAATGAACAGAAACTATCACAAAAAAATGATGGCAGTCACTGAATTCATTTCATTCTAAGATTAGGACTAAACAACTGTGGGGATAATGGGTTTCATAGCAGAATATGAAGAACATTTAACATTTAACAAATTAAGCCCTGATAATAACGGAAAACATCCCTATGCTTACTTAGTTTGGGGAATGTTACTCAATATAAGTCAGGATTGAGTTTTTTTATTTAATCTTAACTCACAAGTTAGTACAACCCTGTGAAATTCCTAGAGCAAGCAAATGGAGTTTTTGTCACTTCATTCACACCTCTGCTCAGCTTTGTTTCTTCTATTCAAATTTGGTATCTTTTCTTTCTTTCTCTGGCCTAAGTGTTCTGGCAGAAACGTTCACTACAAAGGGGTACAACAGTGCTGCAAGTGGGCATCAGTTCCTGTTCTTAGGAGAAAGGCTTTGTCTTCAACCAATGAGCATGGTGTTGGCTGTGGGTTTTTCATGAATGTTATTATGTTGAGGCAGTTCCCTTCCATTCTTAGCTTGTTGAATGTCTATTTAATCATTAAAGGGTATTGAATTTTGTCAAGTGTTTTTTCTAAGTCAATTGAGATTATCATGTTTTGTTTTATTTTTTTCCTTTGTTCTAATGTGGTACATTACATTGACTATTTTTCCTTATAATGTAAAGGTGGGCCCACCTTTACATTCCTGGAATTAAATTCCACTTACCTAGTCAAGGTGTACAATACTTTTAATATGCTTTGGATATGGTTTGCTAGTATGTTGTTAAGAAGTTTTGCATCTATATTCATAAGAGATACTGGCCTATAGTTTTCATTTCTTGTGGAGTCTTTGTCAGGCTTTGGTATCAGGGTGATGCTAAGCCTCACAGAATGAGATAGGAAAATGTTCCCTCATCTCCAAGAGTTTGAGGATTGGTGTTATCTTCAAATGTTTGGTAGAATTCACCAGTGAAGCCACAGAGGCTTTTGATTACTGACTCTCTCTCTTGTTTAGATCCGTTCAAATTTTCTATTTCTTCTTGACTCAGTAATTTGTATGTTTCTAGGAAAGTGTCCATTTCATCTAGGTTATTTAATTTATTGGAAATACAATGTAATAATTGTTCATAGCATTGTCTTATAATCCTTTTTATTTCTGTAAGATCAGTAAAAATGTCTCTACTTTCATTTCTGATTTTAGTTTTTTATGTCTTCTTTCTTTTTTTCTAAATCAGTATAGCCAAAACTGTCAATTTTGTTGATCTTTTTTGATAAACCAACTTTTGGTTTCGTTGAGTCTCTGTATTGTTTTTCTATTCTCTATTTCGTTTATCTCCATTCTAATCTTTATTATTTCCTTCCTTCTGCGGGCTTTGGGTAAGGTTTGCTCTTCTTTTTCTAATTCCTTGAGGTATAAAGTTACGTTATTGATCTGAGATCTCCTTTTTTTAGTGCAGGTATGGTCAGGTACAAACCTCCCTATGAGCACTTCTTTTGCTTCATCCCATGAATTTGGTACGTTGTTTTTAGTTTCATTCTTCCTAAGGTATTTTCTAATGTGACTTCTTCTTTCCCCCCTGGTTAAGAGCTCTGCTCAAACACGAAGCCTTCTCTAACACTACTGTATGAAACAGCTAGCATACCCCATCCTCCCAGGCGCTCTATTATCTCCCTCCCCTTCTCTTCTTGAAATACCTTTTCATAGTACTTATCTCCATCTGAAATTCTATGTATTACTTGTTAATTTACTGTCTGACTTCCTTCACTAAAATTAAAATCTAAGCTCAAACATGGGAAGCATTTTGTTTTGAACACTTCATATCCATGGCTGCTTGACAATATAGTAAGCACTAAATAAATATTTGCTGAACAAACTCCATTAATCGAATTGTAGAATCCAACTTTTCACCATGAATACTGTGACACTTTATTCTGAGTAAGACAGATGCATGTGGCTTATTCATCTTAAACTAGGACATACTTCAGGCAAGGCAGGTACCATTTTGACCAATCCCAATCACAGTCCTATAAAATAAAAACCCACATTAAAGTTCTTGCAATAAATATAGAATGAATTTACATTTCTAATCCTGGATTTCATGATCATGCCTCTTTAGCCTCCTTTAAAGTTAATGGGTACAGTATGGTTTGCACCATTTGCATTACCTCCCAGTTGTTTAATTAACATAATGACTGGGAGATCAGTTACTGCCCAATTACATGTGACTCATTAATTAGGAAGATAACTTGGGTTTTTCCCTTTTAAAGTACGTTTAAGTGTATTAAACTTCTCTCTCAACTGAAAAATTACCAGTATAATTTAGCCTAGTGTTACTTCCCCTATACCTATGCACAACTGGAACTACATTAAATGTGCAAGAAACTTCGATAAATGGGTAATCAATCACTCTCAGGCAAAACTTTATTTGTAGTACCACTGAAATTCTCTAAGTTGATGAATGCCCTATATATTGGGTCATCGGGAAAGTCGTGACGTATTTTTCTATGTTTTTCAATGCAAAAATGCGTCATGACCTTCCCGATGACCCAATACATTTTCTGTGGATGTTGTAACAAATTACTACAAATTTAGCAGCTTAGAAACCACAGAAATCTATTCTCTCACAGTCCTGGAAGCCAGAAGTCCAAAATCAAGGTGCTGGTAGGGCCATGCTCACTGTAGAGGCTCAAAGGGAAAATGCCTTCCTTATCTCTTTCAGCTTCTGGTGGCGGCCAGGATTCCATGGTTTATAGTCACATCACTCTAATCTCTACTGTCACACTGACTCCTCCTCTTCTATGAGTCACAACATCTCCCCTTGCCTCTCTCTTATAAGGACACTTGTGATGGTATTTAGGCCCATCCAGATAACCGAAGATTATCTCATTTAAAGATCCTTCACTTCAGCCAGCCAAGTGGCACACTGGTTAGGAGTTCGCTTGGATGCCAGCTCTGAGCAGCAGGGCCACGGTTCGGATCCTACAAGAGGGCCAGTGACGCTGCGCCCTCTACAGCTAAGATGGTGAACAACAGCTTGACCTGGAGCTGGGCTGCCGTAAGTTGCTGGCGACGGCTTAGGCTGCATTGGGGCTGGCCGGCAGCTAGGGTGCGCTTTTGTGAGCCACCGTAAGCAGCCATCCAATGGCCAGCGGGGGACTAGGAAGAGCGCATTGATCACAATACAAACATGGGCCTTGGGCCAGCCGAGTGGCTCAGTTGGTTAACAGCTCGCTCAAGAGTGCAGAGTTGCTGGTTCAATTCCTGGCCCGAACTGAGCTGCCACTGAGCTGCCAACAGGTGGCAGGATGGCTCAAAAAAACCACACACAAACATGGGCCAGTGAAGCAACGTCCTCCACAACTAGACTGAAGAACAAAAGGACAGCCACTTGTCTGTTCCCCTCCCCCAACTCCCCAAATAAATAAATAAATAAATAAATAAATAAATAAATAAATAAATGAAATAAATATCCTTCACTTAATTGTATCTGCAAAGACTCTTCCCTAGTAAGGTTCACATTCATGGGTTCTAAGGATTTGATGTGGGTATCTCTTGGATGTCATTTTTTCAGCCTCCACATCTTAATCAGCTGATCAAATTTATCATCCTGAATAATGGGACAAACCCATTCCATGTACCTCCTGATATGACGCTTTGAAAAGAATACCACATCACCTATGCAATATTGCTAACAAAAATATATAACCTGAATCAAATCATGAGGAAACAATAAGACAAACCAAACTGGGATACATTCTTCCAAAATGTTAATGTCATGAAATAAGATACTTTCCAGATTAAAGGAGGCTTAAGAGACATAACAAAATGTAGTGTGTGATCTTGGATTGGTTCCTGGATCACAGAAAAAAAAATTTTTTTAAATAGGCCACATGTTGGAACAAATGGCAAAATTTGAATAGGGCGTGTATATTAAATAATAGCATTGTATCAACATTAAATTTCCTGAATTTGATCACTGTATTATGGTTAGAAAATTAATAAGAGACAGGGAGATAAAGAAAATACAGCAGTTTCTTGAATAATATCCTTTCCTTCAATATCCTTTCATTATAACATTGATGAGGGAAAAAAACATTGATTCTGGGCCAGGGCCACTTTCTGTGTGGAGTTTGCTCGTTCTCCCCATGTCTGCTTGGGTTTTCTCTGGTTATTCCAATTTCCTCCCACATCCCAAAGATGTGCACGCTTAGGAAACTGGCATGTCTAAACTGTCCCAGACTGAGTGAGTGTGAGTGTGTGTGAGTGGCCCTGCCATGGAAGGGTGTTCTATCCAGGTTTGGTTCCCACCTTGTGTCCTGAGCTACAGGGATGGGCTCAGGCCACCCATGACCCTGCACTGGAATACACAGATTAGAAAAGAATTACCTTACTTGTTTTTATTCATCTTTCTTAAATGTATGTATAGCTCACATTTATTTCAATGCTTAATATCAGAATTGTTTTGGGGCTTCTTTTAGAAGTTCGCCTGTGTTTTTGTGACCAAAAATATGCTGCAGGAACTTAGCTCTTGTTTGTATCAAGTAGCCTGTGGTAAAATTGGTTCCGTTATACCTTGTTTCACTTAAAGTCGCTGTTTCCAAGAACCCACTGACGCCACTAAGTGAGGGCTTACTGTATGGCAACATATAACCTGATGAATCTAGGAAGAGGGTACACTGCTGTGCACTGAACTATTCTTGAAACTGTGCTGTTGGTTTGAATTTTTTTAAATAACAACTTGAAAAAAAAATGGTTTTCTTCAAATGAAGCAAGCCTGTATTAACATCAAATAACTCTCCTTCCCACCAACAAATTATGCGTTGCCTAAAAATTAAAAAAAAAAAAAATCTGCTCTCGTGTAAACAAACCATCCTGGTCCTCTGGCCATTCCCTGCGAAAGAGCAGCTGAGCAGGATATTTTTCTGTTTGACCGTAATCAAGAAAGACTGAGCACAAACAAAAAAAAAATCATACAAAAACACTCATGTATGGGGATCAAAAGAATCATTTCTTGTCAAAAAGAAAAAAAAACAACCAAAAAACCCCTAACTCAAAGGGAAGTTAACTGCTCAGCCTCTTTGAGTACCACACAGAAGGAGAAGCAAAGGGCATCGTTCAATCAGAATGCCTGGAAATGATATCCTCATATTGCCTTTCTGACACCAGACTGAGACTTATGAAACAGATAGCATGTAAAGGGAAACCACATTTTAACCACCGAGACTCACTGAGGAATGTTATACATGAGAGAAACTTTTTTTTTTTTTAATTTTTAAAACTTAAAGAACAGATTGGACATTATATTGAAAAGCAACATACATATTGGGGCTGGGTCAAAGCAGCAACTCTTCTCATAAGCATAGTCCATGAAAACTGTAGTTTTGGGTCAGCAAATGATAACTGCAAGCAGTTTCTCCCCCTTATATCCCTTAATTATGTCCAAATAAGAATTTTATAGTGAAAATAAAGCCTCCCATAAGAACATGAACAGTCAACAAAACTCAAACTTCAAATAAAACAAAATGTTAAAAAAAGTATGTGTCTTGAAAAAAACAAAACTTTCCCCAAACATTACTGAAAACTTACCTTCTGGGGCGGGAAAAACTTCAGCTATTGAGCCTAAAATGGTTAAAGCTGAAAATCTAGTTGGGTAGGAAGAGCCAGGAAACAATGCTTCAAAAAGACTGTTGCAAATGGATGACATGAAATTCTAAAAAAAAATTACAATAAGTATAATTGAGTTAATTCACAATAGGTTATCTTCAAAGTATCACCTTTAAGGGGGGGGGGGTTCTTTTAATTGAGAGAAAATACTTTTTAAAACAATACTCCTTAACTTCCCTTGACAATTCCAATTGGCACCCTTGACCGTGACCTACATAATGACTTTAAAAAAACCCTTCTTTGTACAGGTCCTATTGCACACCACACAAGAAAAAAACATATTTTTAGTGAAAACAGATCTGCTCAGTCTTGACTTGTGTAAAAGTTATATGAATATTGATTTTCTTCATCAGGGACATTCGGGCATCAAAGATACATATACTTTTTAAATCTTAAAATGACCAAAGATCCAATATATACTGCCTGATAAATTTGGAAAATGTAATACTTTATAAATTTGGCTATAATGACATAATTCATAAAAAAAGCCCAACTATTCCATTGTCTTCTATCTGCTCCTTTGAGATTCCTGCTCTACCATTCTGCTTGATAAAAAAATGAAAACTTTTAGTAAGATGCAACTTTTAAAAAAATCCAAAGTGGGAAATAACTTTACCCATGATAAAGTCTTCTTCCTCTAATTAAAAAATTATTATTATTATTGTTATTTTCATTTTTATTTCTGTGTAATGTCAAGAGAAAAATTATAAGGAAAAGTTGTAATTCTCAAGCATCTCCTGTACTGCTATGCCCTGAAGACATGTGTTTGTAACTGAGCAACATAAAAGCAGCCCTCATCCCGAATGACTATACAGGATCCCTGCATTCATTTCTTTGGTCAAGGACATACAGCTTTGGGAACTTATACGGTAGGCCCTTACAGGCCCTAAGTAAGGGTTTATTAGTTTGTTAACTCTGTTGGGTTTCAAAAGAATAGGGTAGTTATTGAAAATGTCCTAATTAAATTAGTTTTCATTACAAATGAGTAGTCTAATACTTACATTGAAGGGCAATTAGCTCATCCTTGAGGAATGGCCTTATGCTAATTGTAGTGTGAGTTACAGATAACAGTTCTTTCTCTCAACCAGACTGGATGGAACCACAATGGAGGCAGGACATAGCACATTTACAGCCCTAGTACTCACTACACTGCCCTACACACACAGAAGGGGCTCAATGTATGCTCGGGTCGCTTTTAATGGCTCCTCATGAGGCTTCCTAATACTTTGGCTTAGCATTCAAATCCCTCTACTACCCACCCCCAATTTGATTTTCTAACTCATTCCCCATTACCCACCTCCTCTATTCCCCCAAGTATCACACGTCATTCACACCAGTGAATTCACCAATCTCCAAATTCTCCCTGTACTTTCTTACTTCCAGGCCTTCACTCAAGCTGGTACTCAGGAAGAAGCTATTCCAATTTTGGAGTCAAGGGCAGGCCTGGAGCCACCACTAACCAGCTGAGAGAGAGATTACGTAATCTTTCCAGACTTCAGCGTTCTCACTGCTGAGTGGGAATAATCACGCCTCTCTCACAGCCTTGTTATGAAAGGTTCAATGAGAACATGGATATAAAAGCATTTTGTAAATCTAAAAGTACTCTAGCTATTAATATCAGTTATTTAGGTATGAAACAGTCTCCTTCCCTAGGCTTCAAAAGACATCTCTCCCCACTAACAGCCTCCTCTTCTTGCACGTAGTCTGTTGACTGGCACTGAGCATACCACACAGTTATGATACGTTGATAATATCGTGCCCAAGTTGCAACCTCCAAAAGCCACATGTGGCTACACCTGGGAGAAACTATCGGATCCATGAGATTGACTCAATAGATTAAGACTCTAAAAGACCAGTTTTCAAAAAAATAAAAATAAAACAATAAATAAAATAAATAAAAGGCCAGTTTTCTAAAAATATATATCCGCAAGCACAAACTAAAGAAACCATCCATAGATCCATGAAAATTCAGACTGTCAATCCACAAAACAGGTTTTGCGTTTCTAAGTACCCAATTCAGAGACAAGATCATTTTACCTCTTGCAAAAAAGAAGTAAAAGAGATCTGTTTTCTTAGATCATCTAATAATGATCTAAGAAAGGCCAAAAAATAACTGTTCCATGTCCACAGTAAGTGCTGAATATATATTCTAATCAATTTTAATGACTCCCAGCAAGGCTTTTTAGAGTGATTTAGAGTTTATAAAGAGCTTTCTCATGTAATCCTCAAAACTAACTTTTTCATTACTAATCCCGCGTAGAGTTGAATAGACTCATAAAGTAAGCCAATGAGTCAGTGGCAGAATTTAAGGACATATTAGGCAGAATATTTCCTTAAAGTCTAGGTTGTGACTTTTCAATCTTCGTTGTTGGCATTTTACAAAGATGAAGCTGATTTCAGCCTTTGTATAAGAATATAATTTTCTAGGTAGCGTTTTACCTTTCAGATGTAAAATTAAAAACTAAGGACCATCCATACTAATGCTTAGAGTAGATATTGAGGCCACCTCAAGAGAAGTACAAAGCACCAGGAGCAATATGTAAAACCCAGCTCGAAGGAAAAAAATCACAGAAACACTGCCCACCAAGAGACTTGCATTTATTTCCCTTTAATGCTTATTCATAATTGTTTTAGGTTTCTTAAAATTCCATACGTCTAAAAATACATCACCTACCTTATATTGCTGTAAAGAAACAGATGGGTGTTGTTTGGTTAACTCATTCTCTGGTTCGTGCTTGGATTTACTTTGCTCCAGTTTATAAAGTACCTGAGAACTTTCCTGTATCCTGCAAAACAACTTTTAAGAAGAAGAAAAATGAAGCTATGTGAACCACGTTAACCATAAATGTCAGCCTACAAGGCAAAGGAACAACTTTCTCAATTCTTTAGGTTAAAACTTCAGGCAAAAAGAGTACTGGTTTAAACTCTTAACATTTCCAGTGTTTATTTTTGACTATAAAACTAACATTTATATTTTTAAAACCACAACCAAAATATTACTGCAAACCAGAATACAAGTCATTAAACCACAGTGCTACTTCCTTTAGGTCAGCATGACCCTAAAGATGATATACTCACTGCTATACTGTACCAATTCCTCACCCCATAAATGTGTCATGTGATTAATGCAAGTTGAATTGTTCAATAATGACCATTTTGTAAGGCACTTCAAGAAACTATAAAAATACAAGAGCATCCATCCTTCGTCCTCTTAACAAGTTTTCTTAAAATAACTTACACCCTGAAAACCCATCACTAGATTATTTTTTCCTTTCAATAAAAAAAGAGCTCCAGTTTGATTTATTACACCAAAATAAAAGGACTTTTCACTCTGGACTTTAATGCCCAATGTAAACTTTATGGAATCATGGAACAGTTCACAGAAGGGCCATGAAGAAATGTGGTAGTCCAAGCCCAGGACCATTATTCTCATGCTTTCTCAAAACCCAGACTCTTTTCATAAATGGTTTCCAGAGCAAAATTCACCACTTTGCTTTACTTTCTGATGAGAAATGCTACCTTTTTAAGAAGAGAACAGATCTGTTGCCGCACCCCTGGAGACTGACTATTAAGATTGTATGTGATAAAGAATTGAATCCACTGCATTTCTTCTGTGGAAACGATTTCTGTGCTTCGATTACTTTCGCAAAGCAAGCCTAATGTATCTATCCGCACCTAAAACACATCAAGCAATAAAATATTAATTTTTCAGTGAAGTGAGGGAAGCCTACACCACTTGACATGTTTTATTATTTGCATAGGCTACCAAAGGGGAAACAACAGTAAACCTCCGTTTACCCACATGCACCTCATAAAGTTCCCTTATCCCAAAGACCCTGTGGTTATTCCCTATACAATTATTTTATTAATGTGGAGATAAAAGTTAACAACCTTAAAGACTCTTTAGTCCACAGCAATGCTCAACTTCATTCTTTTTTCCCTTTTTTCTCAGTGACACTTTACCCCAGGACCTCATCACCTCACTCTTAGAGCACCGTCATGCACATCTAACTGGTCTCCCATTAGGCAAAGTAATCTCTGTTTCCATTACTATCACTTCCTTACTGAAGGCAGAGTGCCCCTGGTTCCCAGTTAGCAACAGAATGAAATCTGGTCCTCAGCCCAGCATTGGAGTCTTCCCTAAAATGGACAAAACACTCCACTCCAGCCAAACAATGTCCTTAACCATCCTCCAGACCTTGTTTATTTGTGTCCTTCCATTTTCTGTGCTGCCCCAATGCTTCCTCTCCTCTAATCACATTTATCACTTTCCTACTCAACCACCACTATGCTGATCAGTCTCTTCTGAGCTTCCCAAGTCCTCACGCAGAAAGGCACACTTCTATCTATATTGTCTTCTAAGCGTTTCCAGTTGTAGTATGTAGATTTTTTTATCCCCTCAAATAAACTTAAAGAGCCTGAATACAAGGTCTACCCTTTTCCTTTTCTATTCATCCTCCTTATAAACCCCCTTCAAACAGTGCTGGGCCTCTACATTGGACTGTAAAATGAATAGATAAATCAAGGATCTACTGCACATATGAATTCCCTGCTATTTTGTGTACTTACTTGGCAGTGTTGATGAATTAAGCCTTGCTTTATTCTTGCACTGGACACAAGACTCCGCCAGGCATCAGTTGCAGACTGAAGATGGCCATGAGCTCTAGCTGTTCGCAGACATGCCATCAAAGCTCCCAGAGCCCCTCTACTATTATAAGACCCTAAGGATGGAAAAGACTGCTCTTATCTCTAAAGCACAATAACAAAGACCACGCACTACTAAGCTATGTAACAAATACCACAATTTTCATGTTTAATATATTTCAAGATATAGAAATAATTTTAAAGAAAATTCTAACAGTTAAAGTTCCTATTATAAAACAATCATTATTCAAAAGATTTAATAGATCTTGTGTCAATAATTTCAAGTAAGCATAATCCCTTTATCATTAACTTAAAGAAATAATAATATTTGGCTAATAGTTTTCCTTTTTCCTTGACAAAAACAAATCAGGAATTGAATCAGGGAAAAAAAAATCAGGTGGAGAAATATTTAAAACAATAAACTAAAATGACTTTCAACAAAAACAGGAAAAATACTCCAGTGGTTAAAGACCACTATTTCTCTAAAGATAAACACTTAACCTCTCTACACATTTTCAACTTACTGCTTCTCCCTAGTAAAGAAGATAAAAGGATCACAAAGAACATGATTCTTTCAGTGGCTAGGACACCAGCCATTACTGAGGGGACAGAGTGGCTGGCTCACAGGGCACCGCGCTATAAAACTTAAGAGTGCCTCACATTTCAGAACAGACTCATGAATCCTGAACTTCAGACGGCTTCTCAAAAGGCAAGATCAATTATTTCAAATAATAAATAATGGCTCGTTTTTTGTATAGGAGTGAATCAAATTTTTCAGCTATCTCATGGTTACTCTTTAAAGTAATGAACGTTTTTAACTATTTCAGTTGGAAATATTCTTAAAATGTGATGGAGGGTACTATATTCCTGATTTGTTAAACAGAATGTAATAATTTTAATATTTGCATGATGAGTCAGGATAATAATCTTATACATTACTGAATTATGCTTTCATGCAGTGATTCCTTCAGGGTTACTGAGCTTCAGTGGAATGTTTACCCCTATTCTAAATGACTACAGCGAACTGATTTTCTTCCCCAGAGACAAAAACTTGCTACTGCCAATTTACCTGTCTTTAACCTTGCCTAAAACAGTTTTTAACCACTGTTTCAATCGCTTCAATACAAGTTATATAAAACACATCAACTTTTACTTCAGTCTGACAGCCAAATAACAAATAAGAACTTGATAAAATAATTAAAACCTAGTACAACAGTCTCCCGGTATCCATGGTTTCACTTTCCCAGTTTCAGTTACCTGAAAACATTAAATGGAAAATTCCAGAAATAAACAATTCACAAGTTTTAAGTTATGCACCATTTTGAGTAGCGTGACGAAATCTCTCACCATCCCACTCTGTCCTGCCTGGAACATGACATCCCTTGTCCAGCATCTCCACACCGTAGATGCTCCTACACGTTCCTCACCCATTAGTCACTTAGCAGCTTTGGTTATCAGATTTGGTGTCATGGTATCACAGTGCTTGTGTTCAGGTAACACTTATTTTACTTAATCATGGCCCCAAAGTGCAAGAGTAGTGATGATGCTGGCAATTTGGATATGCCAAAGAGAAGCAGTAAAGTGCTTCCTTTAAGTGAAAAGGTGAAAAGTTCTCAACTTAATATGGAAAGAAAACACTAATCACATGCTGAGGTTACTAAGATCTACAGTAAAAACAACTCTTCTAGCCATGAAATTGCCTAATTTATAAATTAAACTTTATCATAGGTATCTATGCATAGGTAGTATTTATAGGGTTTGGCACCATCCACAGCTTCAAGTATCTACTGGGGGTCTTTGAACGTATCCCTCGCAGATAAGGGGGGAACTACTGTAAAAGAAACCTCATAATCATAACTAGAATCAATCCTTAACTTGTAGAAATGACTTCAGCCAAAAAAATCCTATTTAGCTATGTACAGGAACATTTGTTTCAATCATTAATATACTCCTTTACTATTTATAGAAGTGGTAATATTTAAATTTGAATATAGTCAACATCTGCCTGGATAACTACACTTAAGCATCCTAACTAGAAATTACTAAAACAAAAATTCATTTTCTTACCAGTTTTAGCATCAGCAGAAGTCTGAAGAATCTTTACCATGTAGCTTAAACTTTCAGGGTTGCAATTTAATAATTTTGGCAAGTAATAATCAATCACATAAGATTTTTGATCCAGATTTCCTTCACACAGTATGTAAAGGAGAGGAGAAACCCAAGTCTCATGCCATTTGTCAATCCAAGTACTGTCCACAGCCTGAGATTTCAAATGACTCTTATGATTTTTAAACATGGTTTCCAAGAGATCACTTGCATAAGGTACCAGGGACTGGTCCCCCATCACCTCTAAGATTTGAGATGGAATAGTTTTAGCTAATGCCAAAATATGTTCAACTCCGATACAATCTACTACACAACCAAGGCATATGTATTTTCCTTTAATATGCCATTCCAATCGCAGAAGACTCTCCGTCAATTCAAAAATGAAACCATCAGCAGCCAAATCTGACTCTTCGAAGCCGGACTTTCCTACAGTGAGCTGGTGCATTTGGAGAATATTTCTGAATATGATTTTGGTTTGGTGTCTCAAAGCGTCCAATGGATGTTCCCAGTGGGTATAGACATATTCCAAAAGTCTCCTAACTATGCTTGAATTCCCATTCAGACTGTCCTTTAGGCTTGGAGAACTTGATTCAAGGACATGTATGGCTGAATTAGTCCAAGATGCCAAAATTCTAGACAGAAACATTTCCAGTGTTGATTCCTTGATCCTGAAGAAAAATGAGCCATGTTATTATAAAGTAACTAGTACAAGAAATTTCATTTTATAATTGTTTTAAACTTTAAAAATATAAGATACAAAGAATGATCAGAAAATTCAATCATTATTAAATTACAACAAAAAAATTACAAACAAGGCCAAAACAGATCTCAAATTTGTATATGAATCTATTCATCTTATAATCCAAAAAGGGATACGAGGAAACTTTTGGGGTGATGGAAATGTGCATTATTTTGATTGTGATGATGGTTTCAAAGGTATTTTAAAACATACTGAGGGGTTAGGGTTGGAGAAAACCCTGTAAATTATATCTCAATTAATCTGTATAAAATAACACAATGAAGAATAAATTTTAAAGTATGCACAATTTTAAAACATGTACAATTTAAAAATATATATAAACTGAAAACACATAAAATTTATTTTAGAACATGGTAGTTTTCTTCCTTTATCTACATGTTTTTTATTATCAAGCTGTATCTATGGTTTGACATTTTAAGCACATGATCACTTTCAGGCATTATGGCAAAAACACCAAAAAAACACAAAATACAATCCAATGACGTCAAAAGGCCTGGTTATAATTCTGGCTCGGGTGTGTATTAGCAAAATGCTCTTAGGTTGAAGCATTTACTTTTGTAAGTTTCACTTTACTCATTCAACAAATTAGATTTCTTATTCTATCTATCAGACATGTGAGGATGACAATGAATTATCTATGATGAAGTTGTTCATAAACTCTAACGCACTACATATACAGAATTTTTTATAGTTTTTTTTAAATGCTAGCATCAGAAACTGAATGTTAAAATTAATTTTAGCAATGTTCACCACAGGTTAACCTGCACCAATAATTTCTGTAAGTTTCTCCCATCATTCCATTCTTTCTTGTTCTACTTTCACACTCACTTTATTCCCTGCACCTATCTTCCTTTTAATTTAGGATTATCCTGACCACTTTTCATTGAATTACTAAATACGCTGGCTCCATTGTCATCTTTTAATTATCTGACAAGGAAAACAAAATATGAGACGACAGCATCAAAACTCACTGTGAACTCAAGGTGAACAAAACATGCACAGTATCCAAGAGCAGGGCCTCCCCACTTGGGCCCATCCTCCCGTTCTGCCAGTCCAACATGGTGAGGGTCCCCTGACACAGGAATAAGAGTGCCGACTCAGAGACATCCACACAACAGAGGCTCCTACAGCTGTTCAGAAACCACTCGGGGACGCTGGTGCAGTCCACGGAACGGAGAAGCAAACTACTAATCTGAAAAATATAACACAGCTAGTGCATCTAAAGCCTCGAAAACTTTTCAGAGATATTTCAAAATATAAGTCCAAAATTCTCTTTCTCCTGAAACACCCTAGGAAAAATGACTGAGCCTAAAGGAAAAGCCACGAGTGTTAAAATTATTATAACAAAAGGGGAAAAATTGAGGCGAAGTACATGAACCGTGTTGCTGGTTTGAATGAACTGATAGAGCACAATACATCGCCACCTGCAGGTGGATGAGCTTAACTAATGCTTTTAAGAGGTGACTTAGAAATAAAAACTTTTCATTTTTATCCAGCGATAATCACTTTGTGTGATGTCAGAGAATGGCATGCATCTATTTTTGCATAAAGTCAAGCAAAGAGCTAAAATAAGTTTCTAGATAATACAGTAAGGAAAAAGAACTGCTCACCTGAAATTGATATAGAAAAAAAATTAAGTAAATAAAAATAAAAATTAAAAAAAAGAACTGCTAGTAGTAAATACAGGGATTGTGGCCCAAAACATACTTTCCATATAATCAAATTCGCTGAACAATTGAGTCTAGCATGCTTCCTGTCTAAAGTACAATACTTGGGTTATTCTTAAAAAATAGTTATCAAAAAGTTATTACTGTATGTGTCTGTATGTTAATCTCTGCATAATTTTAATATTACAAATATCTTTTATTATACTGAGAGATGGAACTGAACACATAGCACTAGAGAAAAGCTAGAAGGGTATACACCAAAAAATGTTGACAATGATTATCTCTGGGAGATGGATTTATAGGTAACTGTTGTCTTCTTTCCGCTTTATTTGTATTTTGGGAACTGTCTTGTTATACATAAAAGAGAAAGGTCATCAGAAAGATTAAGACTATGTAAAAAAGTATTTTTAAATTCACTTTCTTTAAAAATACTTTTAAAACACTTGTCAAACTACCAATAACGTGCAATTCTAAAAAGGAGATGCACTCACCAAATCGGGAATCTTTTCCTCTGGATGAAACATAGCTTTAATAAAAAGAATAACAGCTAATCCAGATGTACTCTGAATTGTTTGTAAGAGGTCATCTATTTGGCAAAAAAACAGAGTGCATGTATTAAATGACGACAGATATTCTAGGACAGAGGAAAAGAACAGGGTCAGACAGCTCTGGTGCAATTTCTAGCTTGACCGCTTCCTAGGTGAGTAGGCCTTGGGCAAGTTATTTAACCTCCCAGGGACTCAGCTTTCTCTTCTGTAAAATGGGAAAATAAAACTGCTATCTTACACAGTTGCGAGGCTTAAGTGAATAATGGACATAAAGGCCTTTATGCCCAGCACGTAAATGCTCAATAAATGTGATTCCTTCCTGCTGTCTCCTCCAACATCCACTCTCTCTTCCTTTCAATCCACAGCCTCCCAGCATATCAAGCAGCCACATCGCCTGTCCTCTCCCCTCCACTGATGCCTCTGCATCCCAGCCCCCGACATACATCACTTTTTCTTAAAGTGATTTCAGGGCTTGTGTAAAGAGCCTACAGCAGTGCTAATTACAAACTCTGCTATTGTTGGCACTGTACCCAGACAATCTTGATTGGCCATCTTCTTTTTGTTTTCTACTAGCCTCTGGTTTGTCAGAAAGTACACAAAATAATATGGTGATTGGCTTAACCTGTTGTAAGAATTACAAATACGAGTACAGTAAGTCCCCCACTTACAAACATTCGAGTTGCAAACTTTTCACAGATACGAATGGACCTTGCATTACGAACATTCGTAGATGCGAACAAATCATGGAAGTAGCTCACGTGTCTGCCGGACATTGTCACAGTTGTGCTGCTGTGTGCTTACTGTACAGT